CAGTTGTTCAGTAACTGAGGGATCTCAAAGCTTGCTTTCATTTCAATCTCGCTTATAGTTTCTATATTCTCAAAATCTTTTGCCAGGCAATCATATTTATATGGCTTTCCTGTTTCATCCTCCCCAACACCTGTCCTTTAGGAGCCCCATTGGGTGCAGCTGTGCCCCGTGTAGTAATCCTGTGTTCTTGCTGTGTTCCTGAGCAGTAATCCTGTGTTGTTGCTGTATTCCTGAGCAGTAACCGTGTCTCTTTGCTGTGTTCCCGAGCAGTAACCGTGTCTCTTTGCTGTGTTCCCGAGCAGCAGCAGCAGCAGCAGCCCCAGGACAGCCCCGTGCAGTTTCTCCCGGCCCCTGGTGCACTCAGCGCGCCGGGAGCGATGCCGCGACTGGAGGAAGCCGGGCAGGATCATCCGCAAAGCCTGAGCGGGATCCAGGGGCCGTGGGGAGGCTGCAGAGCCTCAGAGAGCCCCCCCAGGGGCTGCAGCACCTCCACAGGGACAGCATCCATCCATCCTGCAGCGATCTGCTGAGGGGAAGGAGCCCCTTCCTCAGGGAATCACCCCTGCCCGCGGAGGAGCCCCCAGGAGCAGAAGGATGGCCCGAGCTGGGACAGCGGTTCTGCCTCCCATCACCACCAAGTGACTTTGCTTTCTTCTCCCCCAAGGGCTGAGTGGATGGAGAGCAGATTTCCCAGGGGAAAAGTGGGATTTGCTCCTGCATGGGCAGCCCTGGGAAGGCTCCCAGTGGTTTCAGGCTCCTCTTCTCGCTCTCCAGGACTGTGCAGCATTTCCCAAAGTGGCTGGAAAACCTTCAGTGCCCAGTTTGTCACCACTCCCAGGAGGAGCTGCCTCCCCTGGGACACCCAGAAGTGACTTTGGGAATGTTGCCTCCCCTGGGACACCCAGAAGTCACAGCCCTTTGGGAATGCTGCCTCCCCTGGGACACCCAGAAGTCACAGCCCTTTGGGAATGCTCCCTGTTAGCCTCATGCACCAAGAGCCTGCCAGTTATTCTCTGCTTTTCCTCACCTTCGCTAAATGAGTTGCTCCAGGGAAGAGGAGGGAAAAATGTCCTGAACCAGTGACTCAGAGTTATGTCATCAAATGCAATTTACTGCAATGGCCTTGTAATTAGCATTTTTGGAGCCTTCCCAGCAGCTGAGGCAAATAAATGTGAGAGCCACTTTCTAATGAGCAGATAGGTGGGGAAGGAATAAAATCTTGCTCTTTAGACTCTGCTGTTCAGGCATAAAATCAGATTTTAGAGGCAAAAGTCAGCAGCCCACAGAGCTGGAATTGTGGAGCATGGAAGGATTCTGAGATTCTGACACTGGGCTCCAACAGCAGCTGCCCATGGCAAAACTGCCCCTTATTTGCTGAACATAATGTTTGGCTCAAACACAGCCTGTTTTCCTCGTTGCCAGCCATTTGTGAGCCTGACTCAGGCTCCCAGACACATTATCCAGAAGCAGATAGGAAGGGGAATAGGAATAGATTATGCATTCATTACCCAGAAGTAGCCAGCAGATACATTTGCACATTTGTCTGCTGCTCAGTTGTTTGCAAATGGTTCCTGGTGGCTGATGCTGTGTTTGTTTAGTCACCCGGGGCTGGGAGTTCCCAATTCTCTCTCCCAGGCAGGCTGAATCAGTGACTTGGATGGAAATCTCTGCTTTCACCTACAGGAGATGAAGTTTCCACCTAGAAGTTCATGCCTTGTGTTGAGATTGTTTTGAAAAAAGGGGGGAAAATAGCTGTGAACAGTTTCTGCACATTTCAAAGCATAAAGTCTGTGAAATTGTATTATAAAAATGTGAAATTCAGCATAAAAACTGAAATTGTGCCTCAGCTCTGGGACACTGGGGCTATTCCCCTGACCTGACCCATGCAGGTACCAGTGACAGCAGCACACGGAGATGTCAGGAGGGAAAATGCTCAGGAAATGTTCTGTGTGCTGGGGGAGTTTGCTTCCCTGGAGCTGAGTGTGTTTGGGGGATGTTCTCCCTGCTCTTCTGCCAGAGCCTGGGTGAGTTTGGGAGCTCTGGCTGTGGAAAAAGGGTTTGGATGAATTCCTGCAGTGGGGCAGGGCAGGGCTGGGACCACGCTGGGCTCAGCCTCAGCAGGACAGACAGACTGAACAGGGACAGAGAGATGCACCTTTAGGAGGGGTGAAGGGCCAGGACTGCCTTGCCCTGATGATCACACGCTGGATTTATCCCTGTAAATAGAAGATTGTTTACTGCCAATAAACTCTTTTGCATACACAGGACTCAGGCTGTCTCTGTTCCCACTCAGCCCTTGTGTCTCTCTGGGTTTGCCTTTCCCAGCTGGGATCCAGGGGAGGTGTTGGTGGAATCTAGGGGTGCTCCAGAATGGATAAAAGCTGAATTTGTAGCACAAATGTTCTCATTCTTTATGCAGAGGAACCCAGGACTGCCAGCCAGAGCCTGGTTTTGGGTGGTTGTGGGTTTGGTTTGGGATTTTTAATATTCAGGTCACTCTGCAGCTCTGTTGGAAAAAGTCCTGCCCAAGGAACGTCCCCTGGGGTGGGAGCTGGTGGTGGTGGAGAGCTCAGGACCCCCAGCCTGCAGTGGTGTGGACCCCAGAGCCCTGGGGAGTGAAACCCAAAGCTGCTCTAAGGACCCTGTAGGGACTCACCCCCCCCTTGGCATTGGACTGACCAATGGTCCAGGGTGAGGGGACACAGCCAGGGGTGCCCAGGGGGCTCCTGTCTGTCCCCTCAGCTCCCTGAGGGCCTGGGCCCTGGCCCTGCACCCCTCAGCACCCCTGGGCACACATTTCCCCCTGCAGGAGCCTCCTCTGCAGGGAGAGGCTGTGCTGTGCTGTCCCAACACACAAGGAATGCCTCTGGACAGGAATTCCCAAAATCCTCCTCATGGGCTGTAACCAGCAGTGCTTCTGACCCCAAACCAGCACAGTTTTGCACCAAATATCCCAGCTCACTGCACTGGTCTGGGCTATTTGCTCTAAAAGAAGACACATGCCCCAAAATACCCAAAACCCCCAAGGACCAGCACTTCATGGATGTGCAGCTTCCCCTGAGGGGGACAGGGGAAGTCACCTCCTGTGCCTTCAGCTGGGGCACGAGGCTGTGGGGGCTGTTGGCTCTGCTCAAAATAGACTCTGTGGGCTGCACCCCAAACCACACTTTTGTCAGAAACTTCCTTTCTAGCTTGAATTTCAGTTTGCAGCCCTTTCACAGTGAGTCAGTGAAAGCCCTGCTCGCCCTGGAGCTGCTCAGGGAGGCTTTGAATCCTCAGCTTTGGGCCATCCATGGATTAACCTTCCTGCAGGGACTGTTTCCATCAGATCCCAAAGAGTTCACCAGGATGGAGCACTGGGATTCCACTCTCTGGGCTCTCACCCTCAGCCGTGGATGTGTCCTGCCTCGCCTAGCAGAGCTGGGCTCAGTGAAGGCGGAGCAGTTTCACAGGCTGGATTTGGATCTGCTGGAGTCCAGACACTGGAGATCACCTTCTGAACACCTCAGCAAAGCCCTCTTGGGATTTCCTTTGGCCTGGGAAGGCGTTTCCAGAAATCCCCATTTTCTCACCTACCTCATGGTGCTGTTTGGAGCATTTGGTGCCACCTGGAGACCCAGCCCTGCACCCACAGCTCATGGTGCCACCGCTGCAGCTCCTCCTGGGCAAACTGCACTCACTGCAGCTAAGGTCAAGCCAGAGGGCTCCAAACCCCTGTAGGTGTCAAATTCTGCCCTGGAGGACACAGCTGCTCACACTTGTTGGTGTCTGCAGCACCTGGGAGCCCTGAGTGCCCAGCACACCTGATGGTGCTGCTGTGTAGGGGGATGGAATATAAGGAAATAAAGATAGTGTAAAAAGTAATCTCAACCCTAAGGAGTTGCAGCTGGGCCAATTATCAGAGATTAGGAACAGGCCTGACTTTAACAGGGCACAGCTGTAAGCAATGAGAAGAGTGCTATAAGAGAGTGGGGTGGTGATGAGAAGGGAGTTGGCTGCTTTGTGAATAAGACTTAGTGCTCTGAGGAGCTGCCCGTGAGCAACACCAAGAAGGTGTGAAACCTCTGTGATAAGGAGACAGCAGTATGGACGCCCGTGATGAGATGACAGCAATTCTGTAGTTTGGGAAGTGATATCACCCCTGATGTCACCCCAGCAGTTTGGGAAGTGATGTCACCCCAGCCCTGCTGAGCTCTGCTTCCCCCTGTGATGTTTCCTCTGTGGCTGGACCCTGCTCTCAGCAGAACCAAACAACCCCTTCACCTCCATCCTCAGCTCGTGGTGTCTCCAGGCCCGGAGGGTCCTGCTTTTGGGGCATTTTGAGCAAACCCAGCTGCTGCTTTTGCTGCCTGCAGTTTGAGTGCTGAGCTCTGCCGTCCCCTGCTCAGCCCCAGAGCTCCTCCTGCCCATCCCTTCCTGCCTGGGTACTCTGAGGAGCTGCTGCTCTACCCCAGCCTGGCATCGTGGAGGACAGGTAAGTGTCCCTGGGGCTCTGTGTGTGCTTTATCCACATTCTGCCTTAACAGGAATAATTTCTAAATGCAAATATTTCAATGGAGTCACCCCAGCACTACTGAGGTTTGTAAGGGCTGCAATAGGGGAAGAGTTTTACATAAAGGGTGGGGAAATCTCTGTCCTGCTCAGAGCTGGAAGGCTGGATGTGGGTTCTGATTACTCCCCTTCACATCCAGATCAGCTCTGATTAAAAAATCACAGAATTCCTGACTGGTTTGGGTTGGAAGGGACCTTAAAGCTCCAGTGCCACCCCTGCCATGGCAGGGACACCTCCACTGTCCCAGGCTGCTCCCAGCCCTGTCCAGCCTGGCCTTGGGCACTGCCAGGGATCCAGGGGCATTTCTGCTGCTGCTGCTTCCCAAGTTTGTGGCTAATGGTTTTGGGATTCTCCTCCAAGTTAAACAAAAAGTAACTTTTTTTTTCTGCTTTTCCTTGTTAAGTTAAATCCTATTTCAAATTCTGCAGTAATTCCTAGGTGTTTTCATCTTACAACTCAAAATCCTTCCTCTCACTCAGAGTACAGATCCTCTGCCTCTTGCATTAATAAATTATTGCATCTCTTAAAGCTTGCTTTCTGCAGAGTAGGCATTGAAGCCAGGCTATGGCTATGGGGGGGAATAAAGCCCACGGGGCTTTATTTGGGGATTTTTGTCACTCTGAGCTGGTTGCTGTCACAGTTTTGGGTAGAAAAGCAAGGACCCATTTGTTGGCAGCTCTCTGCTGTGGGCTGGGATTCTGCAGCTTTGTGGATGATGGTGCCAGAAGGCAGCAACAAAACATTGTGAAAAAACCCCTTGATTTAGAAAGGTTCATTTTTGGGAAGGGCAGTGAAAGACAGAGGCAGGCAAAAAGTCAAAGGCTGCCTGTGTGAGAAGCCACTGTCCTTTTCAATAATCAGCATTTCCTGAGCCTCTGGGCTCCCAGATTTACCAAAGTGGGGTTAAAGCTGCACTGAGGAAAAGCCACTGTGCTCCAGGCAGGCTGCAGGAGCCCCGCTGGGGACAGAGGGGCCCTCAGCACATCCTGGGCTGTCCCAGCCATGTTCTGTCACCTTCTGCTGGGGACAGAGGGACTCTCAGCACCTCCTGGACTGTCCCAGCCATGTTCTGTCACCTTCTGCTGGGGACAGAGGAGCTCTCAGCACCTCCTGGGCTCTTCCAGACACGTTCTGTTGCCACAGTCAGGAGCACAAGGAAGGGGCAGGTTCATTTTGGGTACTTCTGGCTGCCTAATCCAGGAGAGAGCAAAGGTGCCTCTGTCTGAAATTAGGGCAGTGTGAGATGCCCTCAGGCTGTTCCTTCCTGGGAATGTGTCCCTCATCTCTGGGCAGGCTGAGAGCCCCAATCCCACAGAGCATTTTTTGGGGTGCTGGGATGTGCCACAGTGAGCAGCAGTGGGCACAGGGGCCAGGGTGTAAATCCAAGTGCTGAAACACAACCACAATGTGATTTCAGGACCAGCCACAGGTGAGGCTGAGGCTGTGAAGAGGCCAGGGAGGTGTTTCACAGCTGGGCTGACAATCTGCCTCCCAACAAGGGGCAGTGGGTCCCTGCCAGCAGTGCCAGCCTCACTGCTCACCCCGTGCCCTGCTGCCAGCCTGGCACAGCCTGAGTGCCCTCAGTGCAGGGAGAGCCTGGGGGATGCTGTGCCCCCAGCCAGCCCCCCCAGCTGCTGGTGCAGCCCCTTCTGGAGCCAAGATCAGCTCTCTGATCTCCTCCCTCAGCAGTGAGGGCTGGGAGCAGCTCCTGTGCTGCCCTTCCTCCTTCCTTTGGGGCACAATTGTGCTCTGGGCTGGGGCAGCCTCACCTCCAGTGCTGGGGGCACTTTGGGGCACCACAGGAGAGGAAAGATATTGAAATATTGTAATAAAGATGTTGAACCATCAGAGAGTGTCCAAAGGAGGTGGTGGAAGGGTTTTGGGAGGAACTCTGTGAGGAGCAGCTGAGGGGAGACTCAGCACAGTTACAATTTCCTCATGAGAGGAAGAGGAGGGGCAGCTCCATCTCTGCTGTGGGACAGGAGCCAGGGCACGGCTGGAGCTCAGGGCAAGGCTCTGCCCCCAGGATCAGGGTCTGTGCAGGTGTGAACCCAGCACCCACACAAGGGAAAATCCCCATGTTCAGATCCCTGCTGTCCCTGGGCCACCCAGAGCAGCTGAGGCTGTACTGACCCAAACTGGGAGAGAAGGGGATGAAATGAGGGCTAGAACAGGATGAGAGAGAGGAAATGCTCCCCAGGCAAGGAAGTCGAGGTTGATTTTTAGGATTTGCTGTAAACTCAACTCATGAACATGACACAGGATCCACAGTTCACTTCTCCACCCCTCAAATCTGAATTATCCTTCCCACCTTGCCTCTTGCAATGGAGAACCTGCAGTTGGCAGAGCAGCTGGGATTTGCTTTTTGCATCAGCAGAGCTGGGCGCAGAGCCCTGGCTTTGCTCTGGGATTCTGTGGATGCTGTGTGAGTGCTGCTGTGATGGGATGAGAGGAAGCAATTCCTCATCTCCCAAGAGGACCTGGGCAATGTTGGGATTTCCATCAAGGTTTTTGTTCTCAGTGCCACATTTTGGGTATGGGGGCTGCTGTAATGTAACCCCACAAATAACCTGATTATCCTGGAGCCTGGTAATGGAGGGCAGGGCAGAAGTGAGTGATGGCAGATTTGTTTTCTAACCTGGCTTCTCTGTACTAATTAATTCCTTGATTAATTCTTTAATTAACCTGCCTGCCTCACTGGGGCTGTTGTGATGCTGAATTTGTGTCTCTGATGCACCTGGCAGGCTCAGGTGCTGTTCCCTGCTCTCAAAACCCTCCTGTTGGATAAATCCTGTCCCCAGCAAACTGCACCTGGGGTCTGGGCTCTTTCTGAGGTGAGGAAATACTTTTGGATTAGTGATTGATGGATAAATGAGATGACATTTGTATGTATCTGTGAGGAAAATTTCTGTCCCTGTGCCCACATTTGCCAAAGTGCCACAAACAAATGAAACCTCAAATGTCAACATTCAGCTGAGCAAGAGATGGGGAGGAGCTGAATCTGGATAATCCCTTTTTATTCCACCAGGGAGCATAACTCTAATGATTTTGGTACTAAACACTTGTGCAGGCCAGCAGTCACCTTTGGATTCTTTAGGGATTCCCTTGGCACAGGCAGCTCTGAAACCCAGAATTGCTCCCAGACATGGCAAAGAACAAGGAATGAAAGCAAATCTGCAGTCCTGCAAGCAGTGCTAGCTCAGGCTACATTTAAACCCCAAATCCTACCCAAGCACCCTCAAACCCTGCTGTTTCTCCTCAGCTGGAGCAGTAACTCCAGAAAAACCTTTCCATTCTAGGCATATTTGGTTTAAAGGAGTTTATGGGAATATGGTCCCTATTAACTTAGAGAAAAATAGTTTTGAGCTTCTAAGGTGATTTCCTTGTGCCTTTCTGAGATGGACTTGTGCTCGTAAGGAGCATGACCAGCCCATTCCTTGCTAATGCACATTCTCATTGCTGGTAGGGCATTAGGAGCAGATCAGATGCTAGAGCCGGAGCTCAGGGTTCCAGCAGGAAATTACAGCTGCAAATGCTTCCTTGTGCACATTCCCCGGCTTTCCCACAACCCCTCCTGCCCAGAAGCATCAGCTAATTTGCATATTAACACCGATAATGAGCCCTGGGAGGGTTTTCATGATGTCAGAGCCGCGGTCACTGCGGGAGGAGGCTCCGGGCTGCTGCCCCGGGGCTGGGGGTGCTCAGGGCCGGGCTGTGGGATGCCAGCGGTGCCAGCCTGGCTGTGTGGGCAGCCCGGACACTCCTGCCCAGCAGGAACCGTGGCCATTTGCCCTCATTTTTAGGTGGTGACTTGCAGAGGAGCTTCCTGTTGCTGGGCTGGCAGAGGCTCAGCGGGGCAGGGATGGCAAAACTCACCCAGGGATGGAGGTGCCCTCCCAGAACTCAGCCCAGGGATGGAGGTGCCCTCCCAAAACTCAGCCCAGGGATGGAGGTGCCCTCCCAAAGCCCACCCAGGGATGGAGGTGCCCTCCCAAAACTCAGTCCAGGGATGGAGGTGCCCTCCCAAAACTCAGTCCAGGGATGGAGGTGCCCTCCCAGAACTCACCCAGGGGTGGCAAAACTCAGCCCGGGCACTGGGAAATGAATCTGCAGAACGTGTTTAAAGTTTGATAGGAGGTTTATATGGTGTGTATTTGCATGTAAGCTTTGAGATAAGAAATACTGGCTTAGAAATGCCTCTCAGTTGCCCCATCTCTAGGTCAGAAAAGAGCATAATGTATATATTATATGTATATATAACACCAGGCTGGCTGCACACACGGGATGCTGCCCTGCCTGGAGGCTCTTGGGAAAGACCGTTTTTATTTGTATTTTTATTTGTATTTTTATTTAATTAATTTTAAAAAAATTAAATTTTTAATTTTTTATTTTGTTTTTTTTTTTTTAATTTTGTTTTTTATTTTGTTTATTTTGGCTTTTTAATTTTGTTTTTTAATTTTTTTCTTTTTTGTTGATTTTTATTTTTTCCTTTTTATTTTTTTATTGTTTTGTTTTATTATGCTGCCCTGCCTGGGGGCTCTTGGGAAAGTTTTATTCCTGCTCCACAGAGCTGTGGAGGTGGAAGGGACCTCATGAGGCCACCCAGTGCAAACTCCTGCTCAAGCAGGGTCATCCAGAGAGGATTGTCACATCCAGGTGGCTTTTGAGCATCTCCAAGGATGGGACATCACCTCCTTCAGGCAGCCCCTGCCAGCTCAGGGTGCCATTGTCACCTTTGTTGGTGGCTCATGTTCAGCTCATTGTGCTCCAGGACCCCCAGGTTCTTTCCTGCCTTTCCCTGGTCCCTCTCTGAAGCAGAATTTTTTATTTCCTCACTGTTGCTCTTTATAAAATTCCTGCCTCCCCCTCCCAGCCTGTCCAGGTCCCTCTGGCACATGGCACATCCCTCCCACTTTGGTGCA